CACATGCGATGACTGCGGTGCATACAACGTCTTGGGCGCCAGATAGTCAGTCACACATGCCTCTCTCGACACTATCACAGGCCCCAATGGGCTACGAGATCGTGACGGAACCGACGCCGGATAATGCTAGTTTCCCATTCGGTATGTCCTATGAACATAGCCTGGACCAACCAGGCACTTTCGATCTACTCGCCAACCAGCCCTTTTCTGAATCCCTATTTAATATTCTCTCTTCACCAACTTCCTATGCCCATCAGGAGCGGACGTTTGGGCGGCGTCTGCAACGATCGACTCTAGAAAAGGCTTACACGTTGCTCCGCATGCCCAACCCGCCGGGCAGCCTCATCAACAGCGCCTTCGGTTTCAGTTTACTTTTCGAACCCAAAGAGAGGATCGTGGAGCGGATCGCTAACCGTCTCAGTGTCAACCAACGGGAAACAATGTTTAACTGGAAATTTCCATTTTTACACTTAGGGGGCGGGGGCACGTGGTTCGACGAAATGAATGACTTGGATGAGATGGCGTACCCGAGCGGCCATAAACAGAGAAACCCGGTTGGAAATCAGGGGACGGCTGAGCCGTATCGGCAAAAGGTCGACTCTCTCTATGGCATGGGACCGTGGGATGCGGCGACAGAAGAGATGCGGGACCTGAGAGTAGAACGCGCCGCCTCAAGACTTCGCATGAACGTTCCGGGGCTCCAAGGCGACTTTTACGATGCGGACGAGGTCGAATGGGTTTTACGGAGACGCGGAGTCGATATTCCCGCCGCCGCGGATTTTGTCACGGCCGAGATCGATCCGGCAGACTTTTCGGACGAGACGGCGGTTGCTGGACGCGCCCTCGGGAGCGGACTCGAAAGCAACAGCAACAGCAGCATTAACAACGCCTCTGACATCTTGAGCAGTTACGGAACGAGCCCTGGAGACGTCGCTGCCAGGCAATGGCTTGGACAAACTCTGAAGCCGACGAGGCCGTCTGATGTCCACTTGGGCGATACACGGTCTGTTGGACAGTCTAGCAATGTGGCATCTAGTCAGATGCCCCTGGATCCCAGTCTCGCGGGCGATATGTTTGGACTGGAGAGCACATCTACCAACCAGACTACGACACCCGGTTCAAAGCGGAGAGCGGTGACAATCAATGTTGGGGTACTCGTCCAAGGTATGTTCATGTTCAACCAGAGTCCCTTTTACAATTTGCCTTTTACAATCTGCCATAGACAATGCTAACAAAGATATTAGAAATTGGACTGAAGTCGGTTTGCTTGGGACGATCACCTGGGATCCGGCCGAGAGATTTGAATGTTGCATTTTGGGCATCGCTGACTACGTAAAAAGAAACATGGGCTTGATATTACTTGACTTTGGGAGTGGCGTACCGTTGGGTATTAGACTGTGCCGGTACCAGAACGGCCAAACGCCTCGAAAGGCTCATAGTTGATTCTTTCCTTTTGTTGATTCATGATATTATTGTCAATGTTGTGTCTCGGGGGTCATCTCATGAAGGGCAACGACACTTTCTCATCTAGCGGTTGGCGCTTTGTATAAATGGGTCTAGTAAGGTGGTTGGATGTTTTATTGTGGTAGCAGCCTTCACAAAGGCTGTATCTAAGGCTTCCAGCCCATGGATTGCAATTGAAGTTGGTTAATTGCCCGCAATCGGTTTCTCGCCGGCTTAGAATTATCGCTTTCCCAACTGCCTCCTCATGTGTGTACAGGAAAATACGAAGTTATGTACACGAAAAACAAGTGAAAAAGGTCTGCGAAAGAATACAAGCTTTCATGTACGGCGTATGAAGAGCCAAGATTATCGAGCCTCACTTGGAAAAGGTAGCCTTGATCACCTGGATCCTGTTGTTGTTCGTAAAAGAGATGACCAGCGTTTTGCCAGTGGGATCCAAATATGGATGAGCGACGCCAGCGTAGACGAGTCCGCCATCAATGGCCTGGGCCTGGAAAATCTTGACATCCGGCGTCCAAGGACCCTCCGGTTTTGTGGCGGTGCGCAAGAACACGGTGCCGCCACCGATGCCTTTAGCAGAGTTAGTCTCAAAGCCTACACGTCAAATATCACAGGACTACAAAAAACATACCAAGGTGAACAAAGATGTAACACTTGAAGTGCTCATTCCAGACAATCTGCCCCTGTCCCGTGCCCCACACAGTGGCCGTCTCGGAGTTGAAAGTCGTCAAGACGTCTGACTTCCACCCCTGCTGGCGGCCCCAGTAGTACTCGTAGTTGCTCACGTTGAACGCCTGGCTGGCATTGACGCGCGCGAGGTAGACGTAGCTGCTCTGGCCCCAGTCGGTGATTGTGGTCGGCGGGCCGCCCCAGGCGTAAATATACTCGGAGCACGGGTCGCGGAAGGCGGCGATGTCGCCGTACCGGGGCGTGGTCTTGGCGTCCCACCAGTAGCCGCGGTCGCCGAAGCGTTTGGTCACGGTGGGGGTTCCGAAGAGAACGTCTACTTTGGCGATGCCTGCGCCTACGAGGCCTTCTGCGTTTTGGTTCTGGGGAGACATGTGTAAGTCTTGTGCGTCCTCTCGTTTTTGAGAACCGGTTTCTGGCTTCATGGAGGAGAATAACAACTTACAACCAGGTAGAAGACGGCGCCGGTTCTTGTAGCAGCATTAGTTTCGACCAAACTCGTCCCGCCGAACCCAGTATCGACCTTTTCTCCCCACGACGAATTGTAGGGGATAAACTGCTTCTGGCGCCCATTCTCTCCCAAGTTGAGATCGTGCACGACCAGCGGGTTCTTCGTCATCACAGAGACGGCATCGCGTACCATACCGTGGAACCCGGGCGTGTCCTTTTCGGGATCCGTGACACCAGCATCACACCAGAGCACATCGCCCCAGACGGCGTACCATTTTCCTGCGATGGCGCCGGTGAAGCCCAGATCACGGTGAGAGCAGCTGTTGTCGGCGTGCTGGAAACCTAGGTACTCCACTTTTGGGTTCACGATGGGGTTCGTGCCGACGGGGAGTGTGCTATCCATTCCTGCGGTGAGCACTTGGAGGGGGTTTGCATGGGCGAGGTTGGTGCCGATGGCTAGAAGGGCCGTGGCCAGGGGGAGGAGGTGAGGGGTTGGGGTACGCATTTTGAGGGGAAGTGGGTGTCGATCTTTGGGGTTGCAGTTGACCTCGGCGCGGGAGGAGGTGGATGGATGGGGATGGGCGATGCTTGTGATTGCTCGGTGTGGCTCGGTGAGGGTGTTGAGAAAGGAGCGTCAATGCCAGAATCGATCTGGCTCGTTGGAAATGATTGTGGGCTGTAATTGGTACCTTATGTAAAGAATGAAAACCTCCTGAAGACAGTAAGAAGAATGAAGGGATGGCGATGCTAGATCGCCTTGAGTTGAGGTTAAGACGTGATGATAACGGACGGCAAAGGGTGGTAATAAATACGTACTGGGAAGGTACCTCCGCTACCGCGATGGCAGTTGGGCAGGCCAATGCCGAATCACAGTGTCTAGCCATATCGACAAGCGCTTGACCCCCTGGTTCCATGGTTGAGATGACATGGAACGATGGATGGATGGACGGGTGATAGGCCCATCATGGTGTTGCAGGCCGGAGGGAACCACGGGCGGTCGGACTGCAGATGCACAACGCCGGAGGTGCGCCACGGCGCCGTGCGGTGGGGCCGGGCCTGGCCGGTAGATTGCAGAGGGAATGAAAGGAAGCACCGGGTGGTTTACATAAGTAGGCAGTGGATCAGTGGCCAAAACATTCTGGATGACGGGCGGCCGGGTGTGGCGTCGCGCAGGTGAGATGGAAGTGCCCTGGGGCTAATTTTGTTGCCTTGGAGGGAATCGTGGCTTTCATGCGATGATGGGATGGAAATGAAGCTTGAATGATTGCGTTCGTCCTTGATGTCAAGGCATTAATTTGATTACCTTAGACAGTGACCGATAAATGATGAGATGGCGGGTGACTGACTATGGACTAACATCAGTGTACATTATTGTTGCCTAGTAAAATAGAATGGAAAGTCTTCTCATCGCGCCATCATGTCTTCATGCTCATCACAATGCTCATCTATTTGTATTTTACTCAACACTTTTCTTGCCTCGATCCTAATGACAAGTGTGAGTGAATATGAGGATGAGTGAGTGAGAGGACAGATTCACACCGCAAATTCCATAGATCAAAGTACCGTCGCATTTCAACTGATGTTTCCATGCCGCCGTTGAAGAAGAAAACCAAGAAATGATCAGGCCAACGCGTCTCAAACTACTTAAGTGAAGCGACCGAAATCTTCAGCATCTCTGCCTTAGTGTACATTCGGAGGCTTCACCCCGGAATGGTCTATTAGAGTAGTCGCGAACATAAGAAACGGCTGACGATGAGACTCTACAAGCAAATCCGAATCTTTTCCAGCTCTTTTCACTTGACATAAGAGCTTTAAGTCAGATGCCATCATAATTGATGGAGGGAGCCCACGTGGATCACCTCATTGACGTTCTCATGTGCAGGGAAGATGAGATGAGCTCCCAGGCACATGCTCGCCCTCAAGCCCGCCATTGGCCGACCCCTCCTCAGGCCTGCCAAGTTGGGAAGCTGTTTCCTCCAGGCAGTGTGCGGGGCAGAGCGGGCAACGGCTTCCGGTGGTGGAGCACCTCTCATCCCGGTGCGTCCGTTTCTCCTGTCCTCTACGTCTGTCATCTGCCATCTGCTCTTCAACCTTGTTAGTCTCGGTCTTCTTCCTTTCACTGCATAGCAGCCAGATTACCTTTTCGGAATTGGTTGTTCACTTCAACCCACGTGCCCTGACTTGACCCGGTTGGCTGGCACCACCGGATGAACCCTCCGCTTCACTACCGACCTGTCCATCGCTCGAGAGTTTGAACGGAGCTCTCGGTTGCTCTTGGCGATCTCGAATGCAACCCTTTCATCTATATAAGCATGCACTCTCGTTTGAGTCCCTTCAAGCTCTGGGTTTACTTCCTGTGCGCAGTTGTTGTTGTTCTCCTTATAATATCCCCGTTCACCATGTCGCCAATGTCCAGTCTGGCCCTCAAGGCCGCTCTCCGTGCGTTGCACCCTGATTCAGGTTCTCTTCTCACTTATACATTCTGACCGTCACCAGTGCTTCCCCTCGTGAGTGCTGCTTCATGCAGTAATGAGACCTATACCCACAATGGCCTCACCTGGTCTCGCAGCATCCGCATGAACCAGGTCCAGGTCGTCGGCACGCACAACTCGTACCATCGCGAAGCGCCACTTGAGGAGCATCCCACTCAAGCGACGATGCTTCCCAACGTCCAGAACTACTACTACTCCCACCCGTCCCTCGATATTCAGCTCAACTACCAGTCCATCCGCAATCTTGAGCTCGACATCTTTGCCGACCCTGAGGGAGGCCACTACGCCACGCCCCTCATCCGCAAGCTCGCGAACCTCTCCACAACTCCAGACCCCGATCTCCTCGCCCCGGGGATCAAAGTCCTGCACGTCGCTGACGCAGACTACCACCCTACCTGCAAGACGTTCATTGGGTGCTTGAACATCGTCAAGAAGTGGAGCCAGGCACACCCGGACCATGTCCCCATCCCCTTCATGATCGAGTTCAAGACCTCCGAAGCCGCCTTCGCAGCAATCGGCGGCGCGTCTCAGATCCCTTGGAATGACAGGGCACTTCTCAAGGGCCTCGACGATGAGATCCGCAGTGTCTTTGCACCCGAGGACCTTGTTACCCCAGATGATATCCGTAGGGGCAACTTGACCTTGGAGCAGTCCGTCTTGCAGTATGGATGGCCCGACTTGGAGAGTGCCCGTGGTCGCGTGCTCTTCCTAATGGACAACGGGCCCGTCAACCCCATCCGTGACTCTTACACCCAGGGCCGGCCTAACCTTGAAGGCCGTGTTCTCTTCACAAACTCTGCACCCGGAAACTCTGATTGCGCGTTCCAAAAGGTTTGGTGTTCATCAACCCCTCTGAACCCGGGGCGTTCTTGATCAGAAAATGAATCTTACTGACAACTTTCAATCAGCTCAATGACCCCACTGGTACCGAACAGGCCAACATCCAGGCGCAGGTCAAGGCGGGCTACTGGGTCCGCACACGCGCCGACATCCCACTCGATACTCTGCTGTCCAACGACACAACGGGGATGCGTGAGGATGCTTTCTCCAGCGGTGCGCAGATCGTGTCGACCGATTTCCAGGCCTACGGCATGAGCAGCCGCTGGAACGTCGACTATGCCGTTCGCTTCAAGGGTGGTGCGGCGGTGCGGTGCAACCCCATCAACGGGCCCGCCGACTGCGCGAGCGAGGCGTTGGAGCCGATTAAATACATTCGCAACTAGACGGCCATTGCTTCGATGTGAGTGAGATAAGGTACTGGTGAATAGTGTAATGGTAATAGCATAATGAAGCTCAGTTTGAAGGGCTGGTATACATGGTCGCTATCGATTGACTGTATTGGGATTGAAGAAGACCTCCCCACCTTTTCAGCGATTTCTTCTCATCAACCAGTGCCGATTGATGTGAAAATGCCTTTTATTCTGCCTCCCCCCAAGAGATATGGAATTGTCCAATAAGAACGGACGTAGAATGCTTATATCTCGACCAAAGTACCATCATCGAGGCGAAGCGCGCGGTAAGGGCTGACATGAGCGGCCGCCCCCAGCCACTTTGTGGGGGAAGAATTCAGAGCTAAGTGCCAACGGGCAAGCTCCATGGGCTTAGCCACAACCATTCGAGCAACACTGCTTCAAAGAAATGCAACCACAACTTGTCCAGTGCAGAAACTGGACAAACATCCAAGGCATCTACTATGGACTCGATCATTGACTCAGCCGGCAAGTGTCCGCAACCCCATGAGGGGACCACGGCGAATGACGCGGGGTCGGGCCCTTTCGTCTGACCGTTCCAACTTCCTTAAGGTGAATTCCCGTCAACCAACACCGCAGCGCACCTTCTGACGGCGTGAGTCAACGCATCCCCCAATTGGCCTCATCTTTCCCTTCTTCCTTCTCCCTGCCTGCAATGCCTCAATTCTTCTATATAAACACGAAAAGCACTCTCGATATGTTCCTAGCCATTTGATTCTTCATGCTCAAGTTGCACCCAGTCTCCCATTCTTGGAGTCTTCACAAACAAGACACCATAGAACGGGACAGTCTACGGACAACAATCAGCAACACCCAGCATGGCTACCAACGACCATTATGATCTCTTAATCTTGACGGACGCCACAGCGTCCATGAGCAGCTACCTGCAAGCTCTCAACAAGTCTCTGCCCGAAATTATTCGGATATCGGCTCTGACCGACTGCTTCGACCGGATCGGAGTCATGGCCTACCGCGACTACTCTGCCTCCATGTTGACGGAGTGGTCAGGATGGTACTCGGCAAACTCAACGGCCGACGACACAATTACACAGGGCCAGCTGCTTCAGAAGGCCAGTCATATCAAGGCGGACTCTGGTCCTTACAGACTTGATTGGCCCGAGGCTGCAAAGACTGGACTGGCCAGAGCCTACAGTATCATGCGTCCCGAAGCCACCACCATCATCATCCTCTACGCCGACGCTCCTCCCCACATCCCGGGAACGTCGTCCAAGTACAGAACCACCGAGATCGAGAATCTCTCCAAGCCTGATTCCTTCTACGGCTGTGGAAAGTACTTTACCGATTGGATTGCCGGCGCCAAGACCCTTCGGGATGGCGAGAAGAAGGCCAAGGTCTTTTCCGTCATACAGGGCGGCATCGATGACACCGTCGCCCCCTTCACTTTCCTCTCACACATCACGGGAGGAGTGAGCTTCAAGCTCGATAACCAACACAACGTTCCCACATCGGTCGCTATCTCGGAGTTGACCACCGGCATCCTGATGGCCTGGATGGGTGTAGGGAAGGAAGGCGGTGCAGCGTCCGGCCAGCGCACTTACGCCAAAGTTTGTCAGTATCGAACAGCCTCCAACATCGAGGATATCACAAGCGAAGAGGACGAGGCCGTCGAGTTATATTTTGTCATCGCTAAACACATGGAGCAAACTGTCGTGAACAACATAGAGTCAACGCCCACCAAGCTTGATAAATTGCGGACGGTCGTTGAAGCTCGGGAAACTCCCCTCTCGGACTTCTCGAATAGATACAAAGCCGATGAGGTCTATCGCAGCTTTGTCGTTGGCCAACTCGAAACTTTGATCGCAGCCGATGTTGGCACCATTGCCATCAACCCTGTATTCGGTAGCCTATGGCGAGCCGTCTGCAACGATCGCGACAACCCGGCTCGCGACGGACTCATCCAGGCCTTTGGGTACTCTGTCGACCGCATCCCCGAACCTGAGAAGAAGTCTCGGATGAAGGCTTGGCTCGAGGAGTCCTACGACTACGCAGCTGAAATCTCGGGAGCCATTGACAAGGTGCCTGAACACCAGAGATACCCCTGCGTGTTTCTCGATCCCACTGAGCAATTCCAGACCTCCACAGACGACAACGGCGAAGACGCCAACGCTGATAAGCGTGCCGTCACAGAGTTTACACGAGAAGAACTCCTAGAGATTGGTCGCTCGTGCGACAACCGTATTCTCCGGAGGCTCGGCAGAGTCCTCACACGACTGACCTATGTGGCCCGCGAAGAGGACCTGCCAGCTCACATTAGAGCCGACCCCAATGTCGCCCGGATTCCCATGGCCCTCTCGTCTGTTGACTATCAGCGAAAGTTTTGGAAGATTCTCTTACATCTTATACTTCCTGGGACCATGCTGGCCGCTCGTCCAGCCGCGCTGCTTGCAGCCCTTGCCCTGCGCTTGGGTATTCGGCCCCTCACAGCCACCGCAGACAGGGAACTACTCACTTTCACCACGAAGTGGAATAACTTGGACATTCCCGAGACCTGGAATGCTAGCTGCCTCTCGCTGCTTCTAGATGCCAACGAGGACTACGAGAGACGGGTCGCTCAAGGCGTAACACAGCGTCCAGCGCCAGAAACTTGTGTTCTCCTTCAGAGTGACCGACGTCTTTTTGAGACTCTGGTTGACTACAAGCTCCTTGAGTTGAACCTCAACACAACCCTACAGGCCAAGATTGGATGGCACCCTGACAAGTCCAAGGTATCTCTTGGGCCCCTGGTCATATGCAAAAGATGCGAATTCCCCCGCTCAGTCACTATAATGGGGCCGGATAACGTCTGTGGCCTCTGTCCTAAGAGCAACAAGTGTGACTGCAAGGTCTGTCAGACTGCCCCGGATCAAGAGGCCCGTCTCCGAAACAACGTGACCCGTGGTGATACCGAAAAGACCGAGGCAACGTGGGTCGAATGTTTCACGCCAACATGCCGTGCTCAGTACGTCGTCTATAACCCTCAGGCTCTTAACGTACGGGCAAAATGCTACTACTGCCGACACCATGGATCCGTCGCAGCTAAAGACGAGAAGATTCCGCGCGAAGCTCCCTGTGTCGAATGTTCGCAGTGTCGAAACCGGGTCATCTGGACAGAGATATACCGTCCTTCCGACCTTGATCTTTCGGTCTTCAAGTGCCCCGCCTGTACATCCAACAGAGTTACCGTCATCGATTTCGAAACCTCAGCCAAGACACTCAGCGGCGAGAACGGCGTCTCGTGGCTCCTGCGCAACGACGATTCGGCGATCAAGGACCCCTTTAACGGCCGATCTCTGTTCCACACCATTTCTCAAGTAGAAGAATCGCACCGGGAATCGCTAGCAAAGAACGTTGAGATCATTCCAGCAGTACAGCAGCAAGCGCAACTCACGATTCGCGGCAAGGCTATCCAAAACCAGGATGACATTCTTGAGTCCCTTCGCAAGTGGGTAAAATCTCGGCGCACTGAGGCTGGAGTCTGCAGTTTGTGCTTCTCAAACATCCGAAAGACCGATCTTCGGAACGCATGTGGTCGCTCTGGCTGTCATCAGCAGATTTGCAACGGCTGTATGAAAGACTGGTACGGACTCAATGTCCGTGGAAGATTGCTCAACCTCGCCGCTCTCTCCTGCCCCTTCTGCCGCCGACAGCCGACCGTCAAGACCGTCTCTAGCTTTGGTATATCCCACATCGGCGACCTGCAGACCGCGGCTACGGACAAAGAGTGGATATACGGCTGGTGCAGAGACTGTGGCTTTGCCAAGAAGTATGCTGAGCGGGTATGCGCTGTTGGTGCTCCCGAAGTTTCGAACTGGTCATGTGATGAGTGCAAGGAGATTCAGATGCAGGGCGCCCAGAGGCTCAAAGTTCGCGACTGTCCCGGCTGCGGTACAGTTACGGAGAAGATGGGCGGATGTGACCATATCACATGTACCGTCCCGGGTTGCAATGCTCATTGGTGCTTCGCCTGCGGCGAGAACGTTGGCGAAGAAGACATCTACGATCACATGAGCTATGCTCACGGAGGCATGTGGGGAGGTTATCACGCGGATGAGGACGATTATGACTATGGCTACGACGATGAGTTCGATTAGGGGTTACCTACACTTCCACCGTTGCCTGATATGGGGGTAAGACTCATCCCGTTGGAGCCGTTCTAGACCTTGCAGACTTTCGTTAAGGTACAGGCTGTTGGGGTTTGGGTCACTCCTTGCCCGTTTGTATTTTATTCGCAGGATGGTGTCTGGCCAAGAGCATGGGAGGCAGAGATTGGGAGGTGTGTTTCTGCCTATGTTACTGTGTAGTAGATTATCGGGTTCCTAATTATGAACAAGCGTTTTCTTACGCAGCCTTAAAGACTGTGAGCGAGTGTAAATCCTCAGTGAACCCTCCAAGCGGCGCCTATCGAGATCGATACATGGTGTTGGGACCAATCTGCAATACCCTTCACAATCTTCACAATCAAGTGATGGTTTTCGTTAAATTGATGGAACAATTGAGATTGTGTGACGTCGGTTCGGTGCATCATTCGCGCGAGGGAGATACCCCGCAATCCGCTAGATGTCATCCGCAACACCGACGAGACTTATGTGTCCTGGAGGGAAGAATGGTGCATCACTCGCGGGTGGAACTCGTTCAACCTTCATGGATACGAGTGAATTTTAAATTCTACTTGACGCTGTAGAATCAAACTTATCCACTCTTTGGAAGGCTCGCAGGTCGCCGATACCGAAACATGCCACCTCTGCCAGGGTTCTCAGACAACCCCTTCCGCACCCGCGCCGACCTCGTGCGCGCTGCGACAGCTTTGATACGACCGTTGAAGCAGTATAAGTCCACCCATAAGGCGCGGATTAAGCTCGCGACCAACACGGCCGCGGGCTTCGATGAGGTTGCGGCGCAGTTGGAAGGGTTCGCGAGACCGTTATGGGTTGTCGCAGATCTCTTGAATGATGTCGAAAGCGGCGGCGGTGGTGAGCTCTTCGCGGGCTTGGACTTGGAGTCTTGGGCTCGGGGGATTTTGGCGGGGACGGATCCGAATTCTGAGGAGTATTGGGGTGACGTGGACGATATCGACCAGCGGATGGTGGAGATGGAGTCTATTGCCTTTGCGATGCTCGCTGCGCCTGGGCCCCTCCTTTCTGCATGTGACGATGAGGAGAAGAAGGAGAGACTCAGGGTTTGGCTGAGGCAGATTAATGGGAAGAGAATGCCGCAGAATAATTGGCTTTGGTTCCGGGTGTTTGTCAACCTGGCGTTGGTAAGAGCACTCGGGGTTCCTGTCGAGAAGGCTAGATCGATCGTGGATACAGATTTGAAGGTTCTGGATACGTTTTATATGGGAGAAGGGTGGTCTAGTGATGGGGCTTGGGGTAAGGAGAGGAAACAGGCGGATTATTACTCGGGCAGCTTTGCGATTCAGTTTGCGCAGTTGTTATACGTGAGATTTGCTGCCCGGGACGAGGAAAGAGTTGAGAGGTACAAAGTGCAGGCGAAGGAATTCGCGTCGAGTTTTTGGAGATATTTTGACACAAATGGTGGGTGTTTGGCTTTGAGCTCTTGTCATTGATTGCGCTCTGGAATGGAAGCTGACGATGAGAAAAGGGGCTGCGATACCATTCGGTCGAAGTTTGACATACCGCTTCGCTTTCGCCGCATTCTGGTCCGCCGCAGCAACCGCCGACGTGGATTTCGCGCCGCCGCTGAACGATCAAGGAATAGTCAAGGGATTGTTGTTACGGCATCTCCGATGGTGGGCGGGACAAGTGGACACGTTCAACACGGACGGGACGTTGCCTATAGGATTCACGTATCCCAACATGTATCTTAGCGAGGACTACAACTCGCCGCAGTCGGTGTACTGGTGCCTCAAGAGCTTTGTCATCTTGGGGCTGCCCGAGGACCACACCTTTTGGAGGTGCGAGGAGAAACCCCACCCTCTTCATAACCTCAAGCCCCTGGGTACTGCAATGGAGAGGAGGCAGTCGCATCCGGGACGGGTGGAAGTCGTCTGGCCGCCGCGGCATATACTTTGCAACGGGCCGGAACACCACTTCCTACTTTCGTCGGGCCAGATGACAAAGAAGACCTTTAAGGGACGAGAGGCAAAGTATGGCAAGTTTGCGTACTCATCAGCTTTTGGGTTTAGTGTCCCCACGGGGTCATTACTTTCGCAGATGGCGCCAGATAGTACGCTGGCTGCTAGTATCGATGATGGAGAGAGTTGGTGCGTAAGATGGGAGCCGACGCACGTCAGGATCGAGTTTGTGTCGGTGTCGTTTTCTGGCGGGCACATTGAGGTGCCGTCTTTAGTCAGTGTCTGGAAACCATGGAAGTGGCTTGACTTAGAGGTTGAGACAGCACTGGTGCCTGTTATGGAGAGCTTCCCCGGGTGGCACGTACGGGTTCATAGGGTCCGATGGAATCCCAGGGAAGAAATCCCGTCGTGGGTCGGGAGCCTGCAGCTCGTTGATGGAGGGTTCGCCATCGATTCACATACGGCAATGGGGAAGTTTCTTCCGAAGAGATCTGCTCACGAAGCGGATGGGCAGTCTTACGTCGAGGACATTGACAGGTGTCTTGTCTCCTCCTCAGCCGGGGCGAGCGGCATCTCTGATATCATTGTCGAAGGAGAGAGCCTGCGGGGAGATGTCGATCGAGGGGCGTGGGTGTTGAGACCGGATCCCAATACTAACCTCATCGCGCAGAGGTCGTTCATTCCTGTTGTCAATCATCAGTTTGGTCTCCGACAGAGTGTGGAGGAAGAGAATGGGGCGGCAGGAGACTCGCTCTGGATGGCCTCCGGAGTGTTTGCTGTTAGTGCCACAGCCGGGCTTGAGGTGGAAAAGATTAAAGCCTTGTGGGAAAGGAGGCTCCGGGTGTCTCTCAACCAGGAAGAAGGCGGTAGATGGACGGTCCAAATTCTTGAAGATTGAGCGGCTTTAGTCACCACTAGACTAATAGCAACTGTGGGATCTAGTTCCAGAGGGAATGCCAAATTCTCTGCCGATATCATAGCGACAGGATCGAGAGGAATCCATTCCGCATTCGCAATAAGGAGGTTGTCGCACTGACTAAGAGTCATGCTACTGAAAGTGCCAAGTCAATACCATGACTCCGCCACTCAACAATCACTGCATGTCCTGGTGAGTGCGTGTTCTCAAAAGTACTGTGGCGTTTAGCCAAGTAATCAATGTAACATTACAGAATTACGGCGCAGCCTATGGGCTACGGGCGTTTTAGGCCAAGAACCTGTGAGATATCCCTGTGGACTACGGATTCATATGTTATTTTCTCTCCTTTCATTCGTGGTCAAACATCTGTCACGGGGCGAAGCTTGTCGCGGTCAACACGTAACTCGAGCAGTAACAAGCAAAGCTGAGTCTATCGTGTGTGCCACTTACACGACTCGAGAGCTATACGCGGAGCGAGACTGATGCCGTCATCCGGAACGGACGGCCCGCGCAGATCACCAGAAAAGTTTCTACATATTGAATTTAGTGTTCATCGCACCTAGATAGATGACAAAACGTCGACAAGTCACAAACCTTGGGCCTCGCTTTACTCCGTACAAGGTTTCAACCAAGTTCCCCTCCTAGGCCCCGGTTTCTCCCACCTTCAAAATCCCCGCCAAAGCCGTGAACTCCAAATAACCTTTTCGCTCTCCGCGCCTGTCCGCGCTTGTCCGCGCATCCGCCGTTTCCGGCTGCCCTGGCCACGTCCTCCGGTCCAAATCCAATAACGCCCCGGACCTTTTTAGCGAGAGATGATATCGGCTCTCTGTCGAGTGACTGCTGTGCATGAAAATATTTCCATTGCGAGAGGTCTAAGCATCTCGCTAACATCTGTAGCGTGCGTGAAGTGAAAAAATAAAGGAAAGAAGAATTAAACATGGACTAGAGAACGACTGGCATGGCATGTGCCATACGGTCTAGTTGTACTTCGTAGCCGCCAACTCCTATAATTTCCACGGGCCAAGCCACCAAGTCTGCCCATGGAGTCGCAGTCAAGTGCTGCGAGATGAGCGAGATCAAAGATCGGGCCCATCCGTTCAGGAACCAGCAGAACGGCTCTGCCATGTGGACGATGACGCAGTAGTGCGCCAACACCACCATAGCCGCCGGATGACGCCGACGTAACATGTCCAAGTAGTCGCTGGTCATGAGAATGGGCCAGAGGAACACGGCACGAAACTCGATCGGCGCCGACATGGCGTTGAAGGTAGAGACCTTGGCGATGCACTCGCTCAAGGCAATCACCGCGTTGGTGATGGCATATTTCCCCTCGTGCTCGACGAGACCAATCTCTGCGAGCTGGGAGCTCAGGCGAGGGAGCCGTTCGAAGAGTGGTTGTAGAGTAGCCTCCACGGTGGACGGTGTGGTATCGCCGGACCCGCGAATAAAGATTTCTCGCAGTGGACCCTTGCGCAGATCCTCGTCGGAGGCGCGTAGGATCATGCTCATGCCGTCGGTGAGGGTGAAGATGTCGAGCATACTATCGATCGGGGAGAAGGAAGGATTGTATTTCTCGTAGCTCGGATAGGTAGCGAAGGCGCTCAAGGTAAGGAAGATGGAGGAGGCGAAGAGGGCGTGACAGTTCGTCGAGGAGATTGTGCCCAGGAGAGTCCCTCTCATCCCATTGATGGCGTCATTCTGGTGCTGGGCAGCCTGCATGAGGTAGGCATGGCGGCAGTCTGGTTGAAGATAGGCCAAGTGGTATGCCGAGAAGGCGAGGATTTGGTGGAGGAGGAACGGATAGGAGAGAGCCTCCCTCGGGACATCGTACTGAAGAGTCTTCTGAGCCAAGGAGGAGTGCGAAAAGGTTCGATAGGACACCGAAGTATAATGATGCATAAGCTCGAGATCAGAAATCCATCCGCTAGCCGTCTCGGTCTTGTTGAGATCGGTTAGGAACCTCGAAAAGTAAGGAAACGGATCTGACTGCGACGAAGGCGAAGTTTGGCCTCCTCCGCCGGAGCTGGACGCGCTCTGTTGGCCCCCGAGTGATCCGGCGGCAGACTGTGGCGAGAGAGAAGCTGGAGACTGCGCGCTTGACCGGCGTCTCAGTGCCGATGCCGAGCCCTAAGAAACCCCAAAGGCGCGTTAGTTTGCGAAAACGAGGTCCTCTCCAACACCAACAAGGCTGGTGAGGGGATGGGTTAGGGGAGGAAGCTTACGCGCGAGCCCGACCTCTTGGTACGTTGCCCTGCTGGCGGCAGCTGAGCCATGGTCTGAGAGGACGCGCCTGTTGGCGCTCCCGCATTTTCGAGACTACATGGCAAGCCGTGGCGTACACAAGCGCTGCAAGGCTTGTTCTCGTCACACTGCGTGGGGTTCATACTCGTTAGTCTCGGCCGAATGCACATAGCGCAGTGTTGAACATGATCGAAGGGAGAGGGTAGATGAAGATCTAAACACCTCATCACTGGGACTTGCACTCTGATGACATACTTTGACTCTTCTCTCCTTGCATCTTAAGCATCCATTGCGTGATTTCCTGTAGCCCAGGCGCTTCATTGTGATGTTGTGGCTTCTGCTGCAGAGGATTCAAGACCAAAGAAACACATCGAGGACTGATAGAGCAAGCACCCGAGAACGAAGACGGTAACGAGGTAAGGGGGAACAAGGTCCAGTAAATAAGGACGAGCCGGTGGGGTGTGGTATCTTTGCGAATCGAAGTGTGTTCCCTCTGTTTATACAGAACAGGCCGAGAAAAGCGCTGCAGTCGGCGACCCGCGGCCAAGTTGTGGGAAGTTATTCTTATGTTGAGCCTTGTCGAACGTTGTAGCGCATCCCGGCCGAGCAAGCCTAGGGCCGATGTGGCTGTCGACGGTTGCGCCCAGGATTTTCGTCCGATCTAAGGTGGCCGGGGTATTGGGGACAGGACAAGGGAAGGGGAAAACGGATACAATCAGGCACGAATAACGCGGTACTGACGCATCAATGTCTTCTGAAGAGCGAAGCAGCGGTACGTTTCTATGTATCTGTAGATATGGATAGAATATCTGCGGGAATGCCAAGACTCGAGTCTGCCCTTTGCACAGCTTTGAACATCAACAATCAAAGTCAACCCCGCCGGGACTAGGGTCCAGCTGGTGTTTAGCCCAGTTACAGGATGTGTAGTGCGAAGGAGAACAAGGTAGAGGGATGTTTAAGAATCTTCGAGGGCAAAAATGGAAAGAGAAAGAAAAAAGAATGGAGAAGAGTGAAGCTTACTAGGTTCCTTGGTATCTTCGCGGTGTTTAGGGGGGGAGAAAGTGACGGTGTCAGCGATGCGGAACTGAGTCGTGCCAAGACCTCCGGCGTGCGGGCGGAGATAC